GGGCCTGCTTGTTAGTGTGGAGGCTATCGAATGCAGCCGCCTTCCCCATGGTTCTCAAAGCCGCCTTGGAGCTCAGTGTCATCGACACCATCGTAGGTGTTGGCTGTCACCATCTGAGATAGCACTAAAACTCCCAACGAAACCGAGCAACCCCGAGGCTCCGGTGTTGCTGGACCGTATGCTGCGGTTTCTCGCCAGCAATTCAGTCCTGAAATGCCGTACTATTTTAATAAAAGAGAACGGTCAAACCGGCACAATCGAGAGGGTATATGCAGCTGAACCGGTATGCAAGTTCCTCTTGAACAATAGTGATGGCTCGGGCTCTTTTGCGCCTCTGATCATGGCGAACCTTAGCGACGTCAACATCAAGACTTGGTACTTCATATTGATTTGAAAACTAACACGCAAAACCAGAGTTGATTTTTCTTTAAATTCCCTAAACGGCGTGTGACTCTCTCTTTAAAACGTATAAAAACAAATTGTTTATACAGGGGACATCTCAAAGATGTGATATTGTGTGGACGAGATGCATACACTTCTGCCCATGGGATGAAACTATTCGAATACATGCAGTCGGATGAAGAGTTCTGCAAACTGTTTAGTCGGGCAATGTCGGAATCTTCCATTATGGTTATGGAAAAAGTTGTAGAATTCTGCAAACTGTTTAGTCGGGCAATGTCACTAAGTCTCATCACTTCCAAATATCCTCATATAATGAGTATCAATTTCGATCTACCTCCGGTTCTAGCCCGTGCTCCTCTTTATCCCGGTTAGAATCATATGCTTTATATAGATTTTTAACATAATATAAATTGGAAAAATAGAAATTAAAACTAATGAAAATTATGACTATGATGGAATATATATATTTTTTTTTTATTCTTTGATCTCTGATAAGAAATGTTGAATCCAATCCAAATTTATAATAATCGTTAATTATAATCGTAAAATATGACATCAAGATATTTTCTTATACATCTACATACGGGTTTTAATTTTAGTTAAACTTGTTTCACGCATAAAACATGCACCAGAAAATATGTTTACGGAGATTCCAAATGGAGATGCCATTTTCATGAAAGTAAGTCTTAATTATATATATATCACACCCAGTA